TCTTCTCCAACACTTGTATGGTGGATGACCTTTCTTCTCACAATGGCGGCAAGGTGGATAGGATTTTTTGAAAGCTCCTCCTTTTGTCTTCTGATAATTGGCAGATGGATATCCATTCGTCGATTGGTTTTTGAAAATTTTCTTGTTTTTATACCCTGTTGTCTTGATGCTTGACATGCAAGGCACCTTCAATCACCCCTTCTTGCGTCATAGACCTCCTTTGCTCTTGTGCTTGTAAAGCATTCAAGAGCTCTGTAAGAGAAATCTTTGGCAAGTCTTTGGTGTTCTCTAGAGTAGTAATGGTGGCTTCAAACTTCTCTGGATCAGTGACTAGCAGCTTTTCGACGATCCTTGAATCATTTAACACAGAACCAAGCAATCTCACCTTGTTGGCAATGCTGAGAAGTCTGTCAGAGTACTCTTTCGCCGATACAGACTCCTTCATCTTCTGCAACTCGAAATCCCTAATCAAATTCAGGACTTTCATTCCACGAATCCTCTCATCTTCTCCATATTCAGCCTTGAGATAATCCCAGATTTTCTTTGCTGTTTTGAGGGACATTATTCGCATGAAGATCATTTGAGGTACAATGGCAAATAGGCAAGCTTTCGCCTTTGATTTTCTTGTCTTCTTTTCCTTCTGTAATTTGATTTGTGCTACAGTAGGATTTACTGGAAGCGGAGGGACCTCGTAATCCTCTTCTATTGCTTCCTAAAGATCCAAGGCCTCCAGATAAGTCTCCATACGAGCTACCCACATTTGATAATTGTCTCCATCGAAGACGGGTGGTGCAACAGCTGAAAAACTGTATTCTCCTACCATTTTGATCTCACAGATCCCTTAGGAAGGGCTCTGATACCAATTGTTAGTGAAAGAGGGAGTTGTTGAATGATTGATAAGAAGATTGAATTATGAAGAGCAATAATGCTCTATATATATACACGGAAAATACAAAAAGATATTTAGAAAATCTACCTAAAAATTTGCAGAAAATATGGTAACAAACCAGTAAACAAATCAAAACTAAATCTAACTCGTAACGGAGATTTAATTAGATACTAACTAATAGCAATCTAAACAAATACATGATCTTTACCGGGATCTTTACCGTATAGGCTCCGCATTGGTGGGCCTTAGATTTTATACTATGATTGTCTCCACCATCTTCACATTTTGTGCACAATTTGATTCACTTGCTAACCTCTAAACTAAGTTCACCAATGCTATGATTTGTGCATGCATAGATGTCATTTGGTATACATTCAAACTTTCATCGAAAAGAACAAGGTGTGAGCACTCGCTAGCTTACCATTTGGTTATAGGCCATCGGTTTGAAGTGAGTGTTTAAGTTGAACAAGAATAGCGATAGAAATGTCATCAAGCACAAAGTAAGGTTCATGATAAGGTACGTGCAGCGTCAAATGAGTTGATTTTGAGGAGGTTTTCGCACTAGTGACTATACTTGACACTCTGAGGTTGATTCTTGCTCTCGCGGCTCAACACAATTGGGAGATACCTTGACGAGGCTTTCAACACGTCCTGTTCTATTGCTGGACTTGAGAATGTTGATAGGTTTTTGGACATCAGGGCTTCGGCCCATATGACTACCAATCCATCTATTTTGGATCAATTAAAAAATTACACGAGTAAGAACTCTGTGATCGTAGAAAACGATACCTCTCTGCCCATTCCCCACACTAATACTCTTTATCCTCTCCCAAATATTCACTTATTAGATCTGGATTGTTTCTTGTCTCACTAAAAATCTCTTTCAATGAGTAAATTAACGTCTGATTTCCTCTCTCCGTTGCATTTACAAATAATTTTTTTACGGTCCAGAATTGTCAAACAGAAAGGGTGGTGGCAACTGGTAAAAGGGATGAAGCGCTATATGTGCTGGAGTGCAACAATTTCGCCTTTTATATATGTCCTTAAAAATAAATCTCTATGTGCTTCATATGATTTATGACATGCTCGCCTGGGTCATGTGAATTATTATGTTATTTCTTTTTTAAATAAAAGTGGACATCTTTCTTTATGATATTTGGAGTTCTTCCCCTATCAAATTGTGAAAAGTCATCGATTGTCTTATTCCCGCAATGAACATCGGTCACCTCAAGTGTTAGATCTTATCCATTATGATCGTTGGGGTTCTTCCCCTATCAAATTCAATTCGAGTTTTCTTTACTATGTTATTTTTATGATGATTATTCCCGATCACTTGGCTTTACCCTTTAAAATTTAAATATGATTTCTTTGATATTTTTCTTAAATTTAGAACATTTGTGATTCTGCTTGTGGAGGTGCATAATTTACTAGCACTTGCTTCAAAGCTCATTTGCGTACTTTTGGCACCCATCGTCAACTATATTGCTTGTATACACCTGCTTAAAATGGTCATGCTAAGAGCATTAAAATAACATGTATTATCTCATCTTAGAAATCTTATCCTAGGGGCATTTTCATAATTTTTTATAACATAAAGACGTTCTCATCTAAAATTGTCCTTCTAACGTCTTTATCATGTATATTCTAACAATTTAAGTCAAGGTATGCTTGCATGTCCTAGCGATCCCTGTAAATATTATTTGAGAAAGTACGAATCACTACTTACATGGGTGATGCGTGCCTTCTCGAGTTTGCAGTTTTTACTTGCTAGAAACTCCAATTTTTTTTTTTAGCTAGATGACGTGAGTTCAATCTGTTGTGATTGCACCTACATATGAATTTCAAACATTTTTTTATAGAATTTCTTCTAGCTTTTATATCTTTTTCTATAGAACTCGATTCAACTTGATTTCATCATCAAAGTTGGAGTGTTTCAATCTAGCAATCAAAAAAAATAATTTCAATCAACTTCGTGCATTCAAAATAGGTATTCCTTGATTTCTTATCGTTCTTGGACCTTAATTGAAAACGAGTCTTATAAACGTCTTTTCTCTTAGATTCCTTGACAAGATTTGTTTAGAATAATCTCCCAAGGCACAAAGAATAACCATTAGAAGTATTCAAGCACCCAATGCTCGAATATATAGAAAAACGATATTTCTGAATCTATTAATCACACTTTCAATTATTATTAATTCTTGATCGATTATGGAGATTCGAAAGTCCAAATCGATGGAGAACATCCTGAGCAACTTGTGTGAAGACGTTTTTTCTTCCTTTCTTCCTTTCTTCACCGATAACTCAATCTCCTCTCATTTATTATTTTTTTTCTTCTTTTCTTTCTTCCCTCTCAATTATGTATGCATTAGGTAAATACATAATAAAGGGCGGAGAAAACCGATTTACCTTCTATGAGTTGACTTTGACCATTTTTCTATATTTTCTTGAGTTCCCGTGATTTCTCTAAACATTTTCTTCTTCTATCTCGTCTCGAAATCCAACCTCTAAAACTTTCGATAAAATCCAACAACTTAAAGTTTAAAAGAAAATAGAAAAATTTTGTACCTATCGAACTCGGACGTACATATTCAAATTTAGCATCTCAATAAAAATTTAAGTCTTATTTAGTTAAATTATATCGGCTAGGTCGGCAAATATCAATTCCCTTCTTTTTATTTATAAATATATTAGGTCGAAGTATGACTTAAGCTAATTGAATCCCTTAATTATTCTAAGGAACATCCTATTTGTCTATTCCCATTATTGATATTTAAAATAGTCTTAACTCATAAGTTATTCATTAATTATTAAAGCCTCACATGGATATACAATATATATATATATATATATATATATATATATACACACATCAAAGTCAAAGTTGCCTATTAATGGACAATTTTGGACCACAAAGCTATACTCTAATTATTATTTTTATTTTTAATGTTCACTTTGACCTTTTATATTAACTAAAATTATTTTTTTAGCAAATTAGTCAAACAGGCGTTCGTTATCAATAAAACTTTATTTGGATAAACCCAATTAATTAAATCCATATCCTTTAACTTTGACTCCACTCCCTTCAAAATAAATAAATAAACTTTTTATTTACGTATTATAAATATTTTATTTTAGCATCGGATTATAGTTTATGTCGTCATACATTACGATAACCGTTATAAGCTCTATTTGGGGGAGGGAGGTGGAGGAAAAGTTCGTCGTTGGCCTCTATGGTAGAATCAATTGAAAGCTTGAGAGACGGTGGTCTCGACATAAAAAATTTATTAAATATTTTATTTTATCAAAATCGTGATGGTCTCGACATTTCCTTACATCCCCTCTGACATGTCCCCACAGACCAACACGAGCCCTTCCAACATGTTTTGTCTTTATTTGCATGCATCTTAGAATTGCTCCAAGTAAAACTTGCTTAACTATGGAGTTTCTATGTATGCTTTTGAAAAAGAATGTGCACCATGTTGGTATATGTAGTAACTTTCATTTCTTTTTAAATATTTCTTAGTCGTCCTATCTTTTGGATCGCTCTAAATTGATGTGGTATTGATTCATTTATATATCTCTCATTTACTCGAGCGTCACAAAAATATAACTCAATTAATGTCTTCAAATAAGAAGTTCGAGATTCAAATTCTCCCGCTCGGTCTAAGAGAACAAAATCTTTGTCATCAAATATTCTATCAATTTATGTTTGATAAATTTATGTTATTTGTGATATTTTATTTTGTTAGATTCCTGAATTCATTCGTAATGTAATTTTTAAAGTCGTGTTAAATCAATTCATATTTATTTTCATGAAATTTCTAACGAATATAAAATTAAAAAAGAATTAAAAATAAGCATTTTTTTAGATAGTTAGTATTAAAAATCTTTTAAGGAAAGCCTAATAAAATTATATCAGCTAGAGTGGGAGCTGTTATATAAATATTTTTAAAATTAACAATAAAATCATAGTTCATTTAGTGCAATCTAATTTAATTTTATCTATAAACCAACCTAATCGGCAACCCAACATAGGTAATTTTATAACTTAAATTAAATTGTACGAGTTGAGTTGAGTTAATCGAGTTTTTCAGGTCATATAATTTTTTATTTTTTTAACATTTATACATTAATATGCCACTCGTGGGTAGGGTTAGAGATGTCTTTTTTGGAATGACGAATTTGTATGTGAATTGGATTTGAACCAAAATAGGAAGATGGCGAGATTCATTACGCCAAAGAATGTGAAAAAAAAACAGACAAAATACCAAAATATTGAAGCAACAGCTCTATTCAGGTGAGCTGTTATCATTAACTTCCTGCGGCCATTGCGGCACCAAAAATCCCCCATCGCCGCCGTAACCACCGCCCCACTGGCTCCCATAAACAGACGGAGAAGATACCAAACCGGCGGCCGATGACGATGAAGACGACGTCATGGATGATGTCATCGGGGAATCGGTAACCACAGCGTATCGATTGGCTGTTGCAGGCGGCGGTGAGGATCGGAGTCTGACGTTTTCGGGGAAGTTGAGTTTGGCCTTGTTGCCTCGGAAGCGGAGAGCGGCTTCGTCGTAGGCTCTGGCGGCGGCTTCAGCCGTGTCGAAAGTCCCCAACCAAACTCTCACAGCTTTGAAGGGATCTCTTATCTCCGCCGCCCATTTCCCCCATGGCCTTTGCCTCACTCCTCTGTATCTTCTCCTTCCTTCTTCCTCCCTTATGTTTCTCCTTGTTTCTCTCTCGTATTCGTATATTCCGACCACATTTCTTCCCTCTTCTGCACGTTCAAAATGACCCCCGATCAAAATATGTCAAAAACCAAATAAAAGGAATAAAAAAAAAACACGAGTGTCTACAGAGGTGGAGCACTAACAATACTCTAAACTTTCCGTTCAAGTTAAGAACCACTAACCATCTTATTGATTAAAGTACAAAACTTTGTCTACCAAACACAAAAATTTGGTCCACAATTTGTAACTACGCCAATTTTAATATAGTTGCTGATCTGGGTATTGCCCGATTCTAATATAATTAGTTACAGGGAAGTAACTTATTCTACTAAGTCAAGTTTATAAGCTTTGCAATTCATCAAACTATTTACGATTTAAATGAATATTTCACGAAAGAATGAATTTTTTTTTTATCTTACCTTCGAAGCGATGGTCTTGACGTCCTCTCTTGTGGGAATTATGAGAAGATGAACAAGCGGAGAGAGTTCCGCTTTTGCCGCTTTCTCCGCCGATAGGGATCTCACCAGCAACGACGTGGGTTAGAGCCGAGACGATAACGGAGGTTTCTACGTCTCTATCTAGGCCAGAAAACGTAGGTGGATGATGAAGCCATTCGTTTTGGTCGGAGAAATCTCTGCTGGAATTCGCCACCTTTGGAGCTATAATAGTAATGAACATGAAATTCGGTGTCGAAAATGGGTGTGTTTTGAGCCAATTATTTATAATAAATGTGACCAAAGCAATTGACCTTGTTGCCTTTGACTTTGAAAAACTGCATTTTGTTTTATATTAACCACCGCCATTTTTCACATCCTTTTATCATTCCTAGTTTGACATAGAGTACTCGAGAAGCATGATATCATCTACAATGGTATGATATTATTTACTACGAATATAAGTTATTAGATTTTACTTTTGGTGTTTCTCGAAAGACCTGATTTCAATAGAAATGATATTTCTTACTTGTAAGTCTACGATCTTCTCGTTAATTAGTTAATGTGGAACTACTCTTCCAAATAATTTTTAATATTCCTTCCGTGACTGAAACTAAAAATTATAATTCTTAACATATACAAAATTATTCGAGGTTGTCACTCCAACACCTCATGTTTAGGATTTGGATCATGATTTAAAATTTGGATTCAGTACCTGATGACCGTGATATTTCTCTACATCTCTTGCAACATGGTCACGTAACTTATTTCTTGTTTCTACAAGCGAAGACTCTCCCCACAAATCAACATGGGTTTTTTTTAGGACGTTTTGTCCTCGCTTACATACTTTTTAGGAAAATTTCCAAGAGGTTACCTAACATAAAATTGCTAAAACAAAACACGTTTAACTTTAGAGTTCTTATGATTGAACTACGAAAAGGAAGGTGCACCTTGTTGGTATAGGTAGTGAGAACACAGTGAGATCTCATATCCGTTGGAGCAGGGAACGAAGTATTTCTTATAAGGGCGTGGAAACCACTACCTAACAAACACATTTTAAAACCGTGAGGCCAATGACAATACATAATGGGCTAAAGTGGACAATATTGGATAATGGTGGGTTGTGACTATTACAAATGGTATCAGAACCAGACAACAGGTGATGTGCCAACGAGGACGCTAGGCCCCAAGGGATGGATTGTGAGATCACACATCAGTTAGTAAGCGTGTGGAAACCTCTCTCTAACCGACAAATTTTAAAATCATGAGGCTGACAACTATACATAACCTAGATTGTTACAAATATAGCGGTTTTTTTTTTAACCGTATAAAACTCGAGGTAAATTTGGTAAGCTTTATTAGGCTGAAAGTTTGAAAAAACAAAATAAAATTTAAATCCATAAGGAAATTAATAATAAAATTCTCTAGAAAGTGTAGCACTGTCAATGTGCTGTAAAGAAGAAGAAGTCGGGAAGGGAAGGGCAAGTGCTGCAACTTGAATGGGGAAGCATGGGGCCATGCCCATCAATTGGGTTTGTAGTCAAAAGGACCATGTGAGTTCAAACAAGCAATAAAACACATGTAGTGAAAGCTTTAAGAAACTTCCTACTTGTTCTTCCAAATTTTAAATTCTCTCTTATGGATATTATTAGCATTGGCCTTGTGGATTTCCTTGGAACCGTGCTGACAGGACATGACCCGACTATTCAAGGAGACTTATCGAGTTGACCCCAAGCTTGGAAGCGAAGGAATTAGTTAACCCTATTGAGTCTGGTCCTAATCGAGTTGGGGTGCATCGTACCATCAGCATGGAGAATGAGATAACTGAGAAAGGCTTTTAAAGGAAATGAAAGTTAATACCTATACCAACAAGGGACACCTTACTTTTCGGTGACTCAATCATAGGAATTTTTCAAAGATGCATGTGTGTGATAACAAAACATATTGGAATGATACTTGTTGGTCTCCTCACTCTTAAAAAGCAAGGAGTCGGTAATGTGTGTAAGGACAAAATATGCTGAATGACTGGTGTTGGTCTGTGAGGATAGTTTTCATTTACAAGAAACAAAGAGTAGGTAACGTGATCATGTCATGAGGGAATGTCGGGGCCATCAGTTGTCAAATCCGGATTCTAAATCCTAATCCGAATTTTGGGCATAGGTCGTTACAATATTTATGATCTTCTATCTTATCATTTACACATTGATCTTGCAAATTTATTTCGAACATATCTAGGTATTTAAAACTTTATTTATAAAATATCTATGATCTTTTAACAATATCCTCTTAAATATTGAAAATTGTGTTTAGCTGACGTAAGTTTCGGTGTTGAAAATTGTGTTTAGCTGACGTAAGTTTCGGTGTTGCAAGTTAGTCTGATGCCTCACCCCGTCTCCCTAGTCAACGGACTACCGTCGACTTGTGGCATTGTTTGATTATTTATTGGTCGAATTTGAATTGAAAACCTATTATCCCACTTATAAACATAGAATGGTTAAGACGAAGATTCAAAACTCTCGCCTCTACGCTGAACGTGTCAAATTCGAAAACAAAATCAAAATGATAACAACAAATGGGAATGGAATTGACCAACAAGCTTGGAAACAAAATCAAGTAGCCATATATTTAGTTACATGAATCTCCCCGGTTGAACAGAATCCATTCAATTAATTTCCTCAAATTTATTCTATTTTTTAAAAAAATTTGACTTGAACTTCTTGAGCAACAAGTGGAAGCCAACACGAAGCTTTGGCCATTCATTTTTTTAATACCATATGTATAAGCTCGTGGAAGATGCCGACATAACATCACGACGTTTTACAATGCCCCACCTATTGCCTTTTATCCTTTTAGGTTCCCCAACTTGGGGCCCTAAATTTACTTGGGGAAGAGCTACGTTCGTCGACTTTTTTTTTTTTCCGTTTTTAATAAATCTTAAAATTAGTCGAAATACTTAAGTCAACTGACTATGTAATGATAAATTATGGATGAATTCGTTAAAACAAATGGTTGTTTTCTTAGTTGGACAATTTTAAGGTAGAGATCGAATCTTCGAACTTTTTGTTCTTTCTGAAGAAGAAAAAGAAAAGCAAGAATCGAGGATGTGACAATACGGTTGACTGACGTATTTTAATTTGACTTTCAAACTACTTGAAAGATAAATTAGTGGACGAGAAGATAAGTAGGATAAGAGCCTCAAAATTTATGACATCGTTTGGAAAACGAACTCCAATTTGATGCTTTGTTTGATGTCGTGAAAAAGTTAATTTAGATTTTTGTAAAATTTCGGTTGATTGAGATCGTTATTAAATGCACGATCATCTATCCTTTGACCTTAATCAAACTAGAAAATATCGATTATTTAGCTTGTGGCCCGGTCTCAAAACATTGACCATTTAACTTGTGATCTAACATCAAAACCCTAATTGTATGACCTGTGATTAGGAACTATAATGCGGGTATTAAGCCAACAATCATTGTGGTACAATTAACCCGTCCATCGATACCTTATAGATTATTACAAATGGTTTAATGTTATTTTGCAAGGTTAATCATTACCGTAAATAATCATTGTGGTACAATTAACCCGTCCATCGATACCTTATAGATTATTACAAATGGTTTAATGTTATTTTGCAAGGTTAATCATTACCGTAAATATATTTTTGAAGTTTTAAAAAGTTTAAATGTGTTCAAATTTTTTTAAAAAAGGTAGGAGGGTATTAAAGAAACTTTTAAAAATTTGATATTTTTAGACCAGGTTTGAAAGTAAAAGGGTATTTATAAAACCATTTTAAAAAGTTGTTTTTTAAACAAAGTATTAACGATTTTTTTTTTTAAAAAGTATTTTTAAATTCTTTTAAAAGTTTAATAATATTTTCAAAAGTTGAGTCTTTCTAGACAAAATACAAAGTTCAATGATATTTTTATTAACATAGCCTCTCTCTCTATATATAAAGCGGTGTCCCTCAAGAGACGCTCATCCGGCCCCATGCAGGCCAATCTAGAAGAGTGCCATAATACGATCGAGGAGGACGGTGCATCATCTAACACACCACACGGAGTGGGCATTGAAGACTAGTTGAGACATAAGCAAGATAGAGACATCGAATTGACAAGAGGGGCAAAGATAGGCTTGTTGAAGGGCCGGGTAGAATCCCGAGCCTTAACCTCAAAAGTTAGGGTTCCAGAGAGAATTTGGGCATGCAGTTCTGGAGTCAAATTCGTCCTATGAATTCTCACCAAGTTTCTATAAATATATATATATAGTCAATACGTAGATATGATGAGAGTTGTACTAGTTTAATGGATTAGGGAATGGAATGAGTTAGGCTGCCTAATTTAATAAAATGTCCCATAAGATCAAAGGAGGAAGTTAATAGGCATGAGACATGTCCCATTGATAATATAGTAGTGACCCATTGAAAATGAGATATCAAAGAAAATGGGTGGTGTTGTCTACTATGAAGCCCTTAATTTATACTAAAAAATCATGGGTTTTGAAGAAAATTTTAATGAGATGGGAAAGGGACGTTACGGTCCTGATGGGTTCTTGAAAATATTTAGTATCGTATCACGGTTTACTATATGTATCATATTTGATCCTTAATCATAGGTTAATGTATTGTATTAGTTTATTGCTCTTATATTTTGTTTGTAATCTATTTGATCTTAATTGAGCGGTAAATGATTATAAACATAGAACTCTCACTACCCTTTAGGCGTTTTAGTTTTAGCAAATATTCTCATGGTATCAGAGCCCGGTTTAGCAAGTCTGATCCTTTCTTCTCCATGACTTTCAAATCCTCTTTCTTCTTTCTTTCCGCCCTCTAATCGATATGATCCATCAAACCTTCTTACACCAAAATAATAAATGTTAATTTAACATTAAGTTAAGAAAATTATTATTAAGATGGTAATATCAAACATATACCAATAAGAGGTCAAGTGTTAAAAAAAAAATTAATGACCCAACACTTTTTTACTTTTTTTACCACATGTTAGAAATGAATGTTTCATTCACACAACCCGAAACATTTAAATCGACTCGAATTTTATTTAAAATTAAACAACAAAATTTAAATTGATGAAATATGGAGAAAATTATGGTACTTTTTAATATTCTTACTCCACATCTTCCAACCATTAAATCTATTAATGTCTAATAAAATCTTCGGTTATGATTTAAATTCAAGACCAAGATTTGTGGTAGTCTCTTGAAAAAATAGGGGCCGAGAGATCTAGAGAGAATCTTCCGGTTTCTAGAGAGGAGATGTCATAGCATTCTGGAAATTTCGATGACACACTGGAATTCATGCAACCATTCGATCATCTACCCTATTTTAGCCTTTCTCGAAGGGGACAAAAACTTGTTATAAAAAATTGAGTTGGAAAGGAAAGGACAACGTATATAGTTGTATATAATGAGATTATATATGGTAGATAATATATATAGTAAATGACTATATATGGTAGATAGTTATCTATAATTAATGTAGATAACTCTATCTAATAAAAGTATATATAATAAACTGACCTATATATATAATATAAATATAAGGCAGTGTTGGAAGAAGAGTTTCTGAATTCTCTATATTCTCCGGTAATTACGGTATATATTTGAAATCATTCCTATAAACTTTTAGCCAATATTTCTTCTTTTCTTAGTTCTATCTAAGCCCTCAATTGTTCATAGTTCGTTCTTGAGATTCTAAAGTATCTTGATAAGTTTTTCTACAAGTCTCTCTCATCATCATCGACCTATATATTTATGTACTTGAGGTATAACGTTGCTATAGGTTCCAATCTGTAGTTCTATTATACTGTTATGGACATTGTTCTTAGATTCTCTAATCGAGTTTAATTGACTCTTACTATTAGACTCCATGTAAAAATCATAAAGAAGGGAGTGACCCTCAATAACGTAACTGATCTGTTTTTTTGGGTTCTCTTCCTTTTTGTAATTTGTGTCTTCTTGGTTTGCATAAAGTGAACTGTTCTTGGAAAAGTTGGATTGTTGCATGTGATACCCCGCCTATACTTTAATCGAGTCCAATTCCACTCTTAAAAAAAACAACTTTTTGGGAGAAGCTGAAGAAAGCTTCAAGTTCTATCGTGCATAACCGACGACATCATTCTAATTGATCAAATCAATAACATCACGTTCTTGTAAAAAGTTTCTAATATGTTCTTTCTTTACTGCGTATTGTGCTGAAATGATTATTGAGAATGATTCAAGACTCGTTTCAGTTAATTAAGGAGAAGATCACAGATATAAAATTAAGAGACAGTATCTCATTATTACGAGGTTGAATTTCCTTATAATTTTCCTTAGATTGAAAATTTGTAATGTGAAATATAAAGATTCAGTCGACTTTTATCCAGAAGAAATGAACGAATATGGTCAAAGATTATACTTTTGGGGTTTGACCCAACTTTTAATTTTTTATATATTAAAAAAGAAATCTAAAGTTAAAGTCAAACCCGCAATGTAGCGGCGCGTCGGTTACATCTAGTCCATCACCGACGGCGGCGGTGGAATTTCAGATTGACCAATCGACAAAGCATCTCCGACATCTACTCAACGGTTGGGCTGCTTTCTTAAGGATTTTCTCAAATGTCAACCTTTTTATTCAACTGTTTGACATTATTCCGATAAATTAATAATAATAAAAAAAAAATTCAACTACTTTTATTTCATAAATATTCTTAAATTTTAAAAAATTTCAATAATATCCTTAATTTTTAAATAAATTTAAAAAGAATTCTTAAACTAAAAAGAAAATTCGGCTAATATTTTGTTTACTTTTTAAAATGGTTAAAAAAATACTTTTTAATTTCTTACAAATTTAAAAAATACCTTCCTTTTCACTCGAAAGTTTCAATAATACAAAACTTCAAAAAAAAAAAAAACATTTTAATTTATTTAAAAATTTTAAAATCAACTTTAATTTTTTTAAATAAAAAAATATTTTTACGGTTGACACCACGTTTCATGAACTTTTCAAAGTAGCATTAAAATATTTATAGATAATTTATGAAATGTCATTAGACCATTTTCATCCGAATTTTTAAAATTTTTTTTTTACCATGGTAAAATGTGTGAATGTTACTTTTACAATTTTATGGATATTTTCTAACATAAAACTAGCGATAAATGTATTTTTTCTAACGGCTTCTATCCAAAACTTACGGTAATTATATTTTTTTACCTTTTTTTTTTCAAAATTAAAGATATTATTGAAATTCTTGAAAGTCAAAGATTGATTTTTTTTACTTGGTAGGACTTCATGCATATTTATGCGATCATTTTAGTTATGAATTACTTCTCCAATCATGAATTATGCACACACATACAATTATGATACTATATTTCACATTCCATTCTTTTATGTTATTTTCGACTATTTCAACGTAAGCATGCTCATAACTAGGTCTAGGGAGAATTGATACTTGCATATTAGGTCCATATTCATATACACACAACTAATTTTATCTTGTCCAAGGGCACTCGGGTTTTTGGCAGTGGAGAAGAGAGGGGAAATCGCGACTCTTGGTTCTTGCTAGGGAAGGGTTGGTGCAGAGATTTTCGAGATGGGGGTACAGAGAGCTTCGGCTTCGATGTAGAAGATCTTATAATTCAACAAAATATGCATTATTATTTAATTACATTAAAATTGTTACATATTAAAATTCGACTATTGTCGTCCTATTCTTGAGTGAGTTGTAGTAGAGATTTGACCTCGATGACGTTAGAGATCCTATGTTCAAGTCATAAAAGTTAGATTTATTTATAGAGATTCCACCGTCAAAACATTTTTCATTTAATGAAAATGTAAAATTTAATTTCCGAATCACTTAAATTTTTTTTTGGGATGACCAATTTATTCCTACAAAAATCTTAATTTTATGGGGAATGAATGTTGTCGTTCTTATCACAGTCAAACTATTGACCTAATATGTACCAAGTAGTCGAGGCTTTATATCAAGGCGTGTTTAGTATGCTAGCTTGATATAGCCTCTTCGTATCACATATTGCAATCTAGAGGACTTTTAGGGGTGTTAAAAAATCGAACCAATCCGATTAACCAAACCGAACCTCCGAAGTTTTTCCGACTTATCCGTGTAAAAATTTAGTTTTTCCAATTTGGTCCTCCATTCATCTCTTGAAAAACAAAATAGCCCAAAACGTTTGCATAAGTCCAGCAATAGAATATTCAAAACAAGAAGCCCAACCTATATCATTTCACTTTCTTTCCTCCCGTTTTCCCGTTTTCATGAAAGCTGTCTGTGAGATCCCACGTCGGTTGATGACTCGTTTTAATACTGTGAAACTGACAACAATATGTAATGGACCAAAACTGACAATATCTGTTATCGATGGCCTAAGGCTATTACATAGTAATACTCTGATACCAAATAATATGGAATCACTACAAGGGAAGTAACACTCGGACTACCTTGTTGATCGAATATCTCAAGGCAAGACACTTGTTTCAGATTTGAATCACTCCACAAGCAAGATTGATCATGTCGAACTTGAATGATTCTACATGCAACCTAAACTACATAGAATTGCAACGAAACTTAGCCATTGACTAAAGAAAACACAATGACTCTTTTACTATATTTTTCAAGTCTATATACCAATACAACATACATGGATTTATATAGTCTCAAAATGAAACTCTTGACCTTACCTGAGACATTTCAAGAATTAGTAACTATGACCATAATTAGCCCATATGTATACTTTGTAACTATAATTAGCCACGAGGTAAATGTAACTTTAAATTAAATAAAAAGTCTTGAAATATATTAATGAAATTCAAAACTCTAAATTCCTGTAAATGGTAACCCACCAAAATTTATAAAAATAAAGCTTCATTCTTCTTCAATTGGCATGAATTGAAATATCTTTCGATAATTTCAACAACATTTTCTTCATATCTTCATTGAACTATATCGTATGATTGATGTCTCTTGGTTCATATCACACAACCTTTTGTCTTCACAATCGAAGTCGTGGTTGTCCTTCTCCCGCATCATTTATGTCGTCGTGCCACCCTTCCCCCATGTCGTTGAAGCCATCACCGCCTATCCCTCGTCGTTGAATCCGCCACCACCCTCTCTTGTCTTGGCCGCAATTCGTTCGCAATCTTTTCTCAAATCTCTTGAGCTAGAATGTGTTTCCTCTTTGCCACAAAATTTTTTCCCTTTCCATGAACAAAAGATATAATTTTTTTTAAAGGAAAAAAATAGGCAAAATTGTTTTAAAACCAAACCGAACCACTTGGATCCAAAACCAGAACCGATAAAAAAATCAAGCAATTCAATTCGGCATCGATTTAATTAAAATTGAACCAAACTGAACCAAACTGTACACGCCCTAGGTTTTCACGTTAGAAGCTTAAAGAAGTTCAGAGATATATTAGACACGTTATTAACAAATTAGTAACCAAATATACACAAACCTCGAAGTTTAGGGACTAAACTTATAATTTAACATAATATTTTGAATACGGTACGATACGAGTAAAGAATAACCGAGAAATAGGTTTTTAGAGTTCATTCCATGTCGAGATAAATTAAAAATAAAAAATAAAAAATAAAAAATAAAGACAAGATTGAACAATTGCACATGTAAGAAACCCCATTGTTTCATGGTTTGCTCATATCTTCCATTTCTATATAATTCATTACTAGAAGCTTCACTTTAACCAAAAAATATAAAAAGGAGAAAGGCAGATGTAAAAATATCATACAAATTACTAATGAAATAAACTCTCAATTGTGGATTGGAGGCTTCTTGGACGCTGGAGTATAATCCATTGCGCCCAAATCATCTGTGCTTGAAAAATGTTCTTCCTCATGAACTGCAAGATCATCATTTCCTTTAAGCTTATGATCATCTTTCTTAATTTGAGGCACTCCCAAGCTTCTTGATGCTACAACAAATCAATACCCACATCCAATTAGCCATCCAAGTCGAGGTATTACATTAAAAAGTCGTTCGGAATAATCAAGAATTTCGTTTAGTTTTTATCAAAGATTGTGAGATCTCACATTGATTGGAGAAAAGAATGAAACATTCTTTATGAAAGTGAAAATCTCTCCTTAGTAGACGCGTTTTAAAAACATTGAGGGAAAGCTTGAAAGGGAAAGCCCAAATATGACAATATCGGCTAGCGGTGAGTTTGGGCTATTGCAAATGGTATCAAAGTTAGACACCGGACAAGTGTTAACAAGGAGGTTGAGCCCAGTGGACACGAGGCGGTGTGCTAGAAAAAACACTGAGCCCCGAAGAGGAGTGGATTATGATATCCCACATCGGTTAGGGAGGATAACAAAACATTAGGGTTTGGAAACATCGTATAGCCCAAAGAGGACAATATCTGCTAGCGGTGGGTTTGGGCTGTTACACAGATCGGACCAAACCTCGTGGATTTGGGCTCTTACACAGATCATACCATAAAATTTTTGTCTCACTTTATCATTATTTACCAAAATGCTAGTAATATATCTTCTTTGGACATAAAAATAAAGAACAATAATTTAAACTTAAATGGGAAAAAACCTTTTTTTTTTATACTTTTTACTTTTAGATAGTAATACCCAAAGATTCATAACGAATTTGGATGGGAGCTTCTCTTGATGGAGAAAATTCAAAACGTGATAGAGAAAATCGGTAAACATAACCCAATTTACTATAATAAAAAAGTTAATATTATTTATTGTAGCTTAACCTAATTTTGAAACTCGAAACAAAACTAGAGAAGAAAATAAACATTAAAAGTCGATCATAAATATGAAGAGATAAAAAGATAATAGATGAAGAAATTTACCAATAACTTTGTTTGAGAAAGAACAAAGAAGAACGAAGACGAGAACGAGGACGAGGACGCGTTTGTTCATAGCCATTGGAGCTTTTGTGGTTTGGCTTTGATTTTGTTCTTGTAATGGCAAAAGGGAAGCTTTGTTTTTGTGTGAAGAAGGTGTTGAAGTTGAGAAGTTACTTTATAGAGAAATGAAGAGAGAAGAAGTTGATTGGGAAGTGAGTGCAAAGGCACATGTGGAGCACCATCAAATTTGTATTATTCCAAAGAGAACAAAAGCTATGGTGTTGAGAGTCCATGTCAATGTTTTGAGAGTGTCTTGTGATGAATGTGATGGGGTCTTGTGGTTGGAGACACAAGCCTTTTGTAATTGAATTTGAAATTTGGGTCTTTTGAGAATGTGGGGTGTTTATAAACAACCAAATATAGGGCATTAATGATGATAAAACCCCACATTTAGCTTCTAATGACCCTAAAACAAAATCGAACAAACCCATTTATACAAATTCGAGAGCAAAATGGCTATCGAGAGTAATCGTCATATGGGTTTGAAATATCAACAAACAAATAATTGCTAGATCTGGATAAGGATAGATGTCTATGTGGGTATGTCGAACTTTGAAGTTATAGTACTCATTAAGCCAAATCAAATGATGTAATTGTGAGATCCAATGTGGATTGGAGATGGGAACGAAACATTCATTATAAGGGTATGAAAATCTCTCCCTAGTATACGCGTTTTAAAACCTTGGGGGGAAGCCCTGGAAAGGAATGCCTAACGTGGAAAAGCTCAAAGAGGACAATAGCTGCTAGTGGTGAGCTTGAGCCTGACAAATGGTATTAGAGCCAGATACCGGACGATAGGCCAGTAAGGATGTTGAGACCTAAAGGGGGGTGGTGGATTGTGAGATCCAACATCGATTGGAGAGGAGAACGAACTATTATTTATAAGGATGTGGAAATCATTTCCTAGCAAATGCATTTTGAAAACTTTGAGGGGAAGCCCGAAAGGGAAAACCTAAAGAGGACAATATCTGCTAGCAGTGTGTTCGATCTGCTACAGACAATATCTACTAGCCTGTTACAATAGTACATCAGGTTTAAAATCTCTAGTTACTATATCTCCGGAGTCACACTGATTGTGTGTCAGTAGTTCAAATCCACTTCTAAACAAAGGGTCCAAAGGACACATACCCAGAACCTGATTTGAAAATTCAAATGAAAGAGGAAAAATTGTTCCCAAAGAAGCGTGACCATTCGATTAAATCTCGAGATTTGAATGGCGTTCTAACTAACAAAATTAATGAAACCCAAATGACATTGTTTGTTGTTCTTAACGACACACATGTTTGGAAGAGCTTATGGTTTAAGCTTTACACAAACCTAACCCTAATAATAAATATGTTTGGTTTTTTATTTAAATGGCTTCATGTGCAATGGCCTAAGGTGTGTGGGAAAGAAGGGAACAGCTTTGAGGCATACAAGATTTGTAGGCCCAAACCAAAACACCCATTTCAAAGACTACCGTCACTAACACTACAAATTTCCCACTCAAGTGGCCAATATTCATGGATCTACTACGTCCACATTGAAAATCTATGTGTGGAGTATATTTTTTACGATGAAAGATACAATCCAATTTTTTCAACTCATAAATTTTTTCAATTCAAATAAACTTAACCAAATCCAACCATAAATCTTTTGGTTTGATTGGTTCCGCTTGTTTATTTAAAATTTTGTTCTCAGTAAAAGTAAAACTTTATTTCGTAAAATATTTATATATTTATGTTTAAATATATAATTATGATTTACTGATCTATCACTCAATTTGAATATATATATATATATATATATATTATTTTTGACAATTTTCTACTAAATAATTAGAAATTATTTTTAAGAATGGTCGGAGAATAAATAATGAAAAATTATTATGAAATTATACCATAAAAATTAATTTATATATGTATAATAATTCTATAGGAAGAAAAAATTATTTTTAAAATTAATTGTAAATTAAATTTGGTGAAGGAGAATTCAATTCATTTGAACCTAACTCATAAACGAACTAAATTCATAAAGTTTTCATTTATTTGAACCCAACTTAACTCAAGCCATTCCGATTGGGTTGGGTTGGGTTGACTAAGTTTTACGAGTCATCAGGTTTTGTGAACATCCTTAATATTTTTTATTATATATATCTAATCTAAATTGTGTAAGCTTTGACCATTAATGAATCTATTTGTTTATCTAAAAATATACACTTTTTTTTTTTAATTTATTGTTGGGGTGAATTTTATTTTCTTTAATTACGGTTAAACCTTCAACTTGAATAGAAGAAGAACGTCAATTACTAATAGAGTATAAAATTTCTATCAATACACCGATACTTTTATCGTTATTTTCATATATCCTGAGCTCGACATCTGCAAAAGGGATAGTCGACATTTTCATTATATCCTGAAATGATCTATGAAACAAAAACTATCATAGATGATATTGATAATAAGCATTTGATTATTTATTTTTATAATTTTTTTTTTGAAAATTATCCATCAACATAAAAATTTTATCAATATTTTTATCGATATGTTGGTAAAATCGAACCTCGAACCTCGATATGAGATTAAAATTTTTAAACTTTGGTTACTCCTAGGTAAGGTGATGTAAGATAAAGGATGACTTAGGGAGCATTAATGAATGGAAAAATTAGGACATTAAAAGAAGGATGGGCAAAAAAGCAACACAAGTGGGAGCTACCATCATCTACACATAACTAAAGAAGTGTGAAAGAATCATGTGGGTGAGAGGTTATGTGCAGATGGGTGGGCCTTATTGGTCTCTTTCCAAACCATTTTAACCAAGATGAATTATTGGTATGCTTCAATGCATTTGAAGTAGGGGTAAATAAGATGAATAGCTATAGAAACATGATTTTAACAATATAATTTTTTCAAAAACAAATAAAGGTATATTTTAAATGTAAGAGTAACCCGTGACTTTAGTATTTTACGAAATACCCAATAAGGAACCCCACTATTAAGGTTGAAAAACGCAAACACATAAAACATGGCGGGACTTATTCTTTTAACTATCGTAGCATGCCCTCAGACAACTTTTAAGTCCCGACAAGGTTGGATGTGTAGTACTTCTCTACGCATGGCCCATGCGTGCGAGCATAGGTCCACCAGGTGGGCTTGCACACCCTTTGGGCCTGACTTGTTGGACTAGCACTCGCTACCGAACTCTTGTCGAACACCACAGAGGAAAAGGGCCCGCATAACATCATGACAAACATAGATGTCAAAAAGCATCAGTCTTAATGCATGCATCGGTACTCATTATTTTGGAAAAGTATCTCGATGCACATGACACACAAATATACATAAGCTCCCCATAGCTTATAATCATGGCATATATGATGCAAAACAAACCTCAATTTACCTATAACAAGTCTGCGATTTATGCTTATATAATTCCTGTACATTCTTCAATACGTAGCATAGCTTTAATGACATGATCTATAGAGGTTTATGTATCTTAAATTAAAATTTGCATAACAACTTTATAAAATACAACATAATCACAAAATAACATAGTTTTATTACATGGAATAACTTATCATAGCATAATGTGCCATAACATAACATTGAACAACATATCATGCATACACATAACACATTTAGGGGTCTCGAGGCACGCATCATTATGCATAATACAATTCATCCAACCAAGTCAATACTAGAGCAACTTATAACAATTTTAATAGAAATTATTATCAGTTTTCTTGATGTCGTATTCCTTCTAAAGCAATTTCATTATCTCCTTCCTGATTTAGATTTTTCTTTTTCTCTATTAAAACTTGGTTTAGCTTGCAATTTGATATCCTCCTTTTTCTTTCTTTTTCATTTCATGCATTTGTTGAGTTCTGATGGCAAGCATGCCGTAGGTAGGGTGTCTCCACTCTAATATAGGATAGTGGTTGAGACTCCCATGGTTGAGGAGGGTTGGGAGAGAATCCTATCTTTGCTAATTCAAGGACTGATCATAAATTTATAGGTAAGAAATACATCTCAATTCGTATAAGGCTTTCTGGGTAAGTCCAAAAAAAAGCCATGAGAGCTTATGTTCAAAGTGGGGGATATCATACCATTGTGGAGAGTTTCGATTCCTAACACACATGTGACTCCATCGATTAGAGAGGGGAACAAAACATTCCTTGTAAAGGTGTGAAAATCGTGTGGAAACGTTTCCCTAACAGACACGTTTTAAAACCTTGAGAAAAGCCCAAAAGGGAAAGCCTAAAGAGAACATATCGGCTAGCCGTGGGCTTGAGTTGTTATAAATGATATCAGAGCTACATACCGAGCGGTGTGCCAGTGAGGATGATGGGTCCTCAAGGGGATGGATTGTGAGATCTCACATCGGTTGGAGAGGGGAATGAAACATTCCTTATAAGGGTGTGGAAACCTGTCCCTCCTAAGAAGACAATATCTACTAGTCGTGGGATTAGACTTTTACACCACACCATGTGAGAACATCAAATAAGGATGTCATTCAATAAGCCTAGTAAATGGTTAAAGAGAGAAATGTGGTGATCTAAGATGGTGCATCACCTAACATATTAAGATTAAGTGTATAAGAAAATTAAGCTAAGACATGACTGAATTTAGAAGCAATCGACAATGTTAATCAAAAGCTTAATAGGTGTTAATTGAGAATCTAGAAGATGGTCTAAAAAATCGTGTTGGGTTGTGAGTTGAACCAGAGTTAAGTGCATATGAGAGGAAGATGCAAGGAAGTTAGGTTCCATTTCAATTGAAGTTGAGGTGTATACACTCCTAATTTTAAGTGAGCTATCTCATAGCACATGCATGTATCATGGCTTAGATAAGCAGGGTAGAATGAGTGCTTTGAATGATTTTATATGAGGGTGAAAAATTCAAGTATAACGTTAAGTGATATAAATGTGTCGACATTGTGCCTTCTCTCAGAGGATCGAAGGTGGCAATATATGAGAATGCATTTTCACTCATAGGTGATCGTAACTTATCACATGATCTTTTTTTCTTTTTCATTTGCATATTGTACTTTTTTTATTTCTTTTTCGAACTGATTTTCTTTTTTTTTTTTTTGGAGTTTTTCTTGAGTT